ATGGCCACAGCGGCCGCAACAAGCAGTGATAGGGTCTTCCAGGAGAGCATGGTTGCGGTTGATATTGGGAGACGTAGTGAAGTGTTGATGTGTTTTTGAATGCCGAGGCAAAATGAATAATGAGCTTGTCGGTCCGACCAGAACGAGTCGACAAGGCACACCAACTTGGTGTGTGCCTTGGTCTCTGACCAAGCGATCCCGTGTCCCTAGCACCAGAGACGAACGATACCTGTCACCGCCTGTGTTGCTCAGTTCCACCTGGATGGTCGTTTTATTCGGTGTGACTTCACTCGAGCAACTCTCTCGAGAACCACGAGGGATACGACGAGATTGTCGAGGAATACCGAAATGTGGACGGGCGCGCACGCTCAGCGAGTTGGAGCGCCAGAGCCCAGGCATCTGCTCGAAGGTGGTCGCACGAACATGGTACAACTGGGCCTGCAGCGTGCTCGAAAGGATGAGGCCCGCAGCCGTTTTTATCGCGAGTGGCGGTGATCCTCACGTTTCTGGTGTGTGTTGCTGCTGTGCCGGGTCGAGGTTGACCATCGTCGCGATTGCTTTTAGAATGCGTGTGGATATCGCCTGAGCAAGTGAGCCTTTGGTGAACGAGTCCAAGATGGGATGACTTCAACGTCACCTCTCCGAAATACTGTTGATTTGCAATACTAACAATGCCCGAGCGTGTCCAACTAGATTTCCAGTCGAGTGCAGCATTAACGCCTCGGCATTTGTGCTCTAGGTTCCTGCAAAGGTGTTATTCAAAAGTACACAGATAATTCGCCCGGGAAGCTTCCTAATTTGTTAGTCTCCTACTGACATGGCAAGCACCGCAAGTCTAATGTCCGCCGAGACTTCACCCGCGTGCTCTCAGAAGAAGAAGGCACAAACGTCGGCAATAGCGGGTCTACGCCACCCACAGCGACTCGAAGTTCGAGCGGATACCTACTGGCGAAATGATCTTTCGACGCACGTTCGTCCACTGACAGCTGGCCAGAGAAAGTTCTGTTTCTTCTTATCCGGATGGCTACAGTGTTCAGAAATAATTCCCGGACAATGTCGGCCACATCCACAGGATGCAATGTATATCTGCATCCAGCAGCTGAAGCTGTGAGGTTTCTCAATCGCCAGCAAGAAGCATTGTACGGATGGCCTCAGTATGAGCGATCCGAGCACTGGTCGGCGAACAGCGAGTATGTACGAGCAACGAGTTGGGTGTTTGGTTATCTCTTCAAGGAGTGGTGATCTGAACTGTTTGATGTAGAGGATGGTAAAAGAAACAGTCTTCCACGTTCAATTGAAGACGCTTGCAGTGTATCTGCGGCGCTTAGGAGACCCGTTAGTCTCCTCGACAGGTGCTTCGTTGCGTTGCTGACCCGTATTCGAATCTATACATTCTTGTATGGGTAGCACGCGATAGAAGCCACGACGCGTGCTCAGATAGCGGTCGTTTTCCAGCAGCACGCCATGCAATAGATATTGCACTGGCCAGAGGAACTGTTCGTCGCCTATGGTCTTCTCCAAGCCACCGATGCCACCGCTACGAACGATGTGTTTCGCTCGGATCGGTACGTCCAGTAGTTCTTCCAGTGGAAGGCGCTTGTACCCGGCCATTGCGGCCTGTGCGGATGAGAATCCAGCGACGGAGCCGCCATCAGCTGCAGTCACAGCTTGTTTAGCTCTGCGACGTCGGTACTCGTGGAGCAGATAGCGAGCAGCTAACCCAATGGTTACGAAGAACAGAGAGAGGAACAGTAGTTCGATCAAAGGTGCGTAGATCATCCACAGCACTGAGCTCTGCACTCTCGACGGTAGCATGTGCATCCTGTCTTCGAAGGCATTGCTAATCGCCGAACGGCCTGGAAACGCGGCGTTGTCCACGATTCGCTGACGCTCCATGTCGTGTTTCATAGGTAGAATCGACAGCAAACGGCTTCGGAGTAGACAGCCTGCTACAACCACAGCAGCTACAAGCTCGCTGCTCGATACAAACGTACGCGTTGCTAACATGTACGCTCGTCCTTCGTCGATGAAAACGAAGAGTCCCCATAGATAATGTACCGATAGCAACAGCAGCACCCACACACGCAGTCCCGACAAGAGAGTGTGGATCCACGCAAAAGATAACGAGGTTTCATCGCCGCTGAGTTCCCACACTGCAGTGTGAGGAAGTAGCAACATCCACGAAAGCAAAGCAGACACAACCGTGAGCATCGCTACCGGCGAGCTGTGGATTAAAGAGCACGCGAAGAGCGTCGTACGTCCTTCACCTTTGATTAGATCTCGCATCTCTTGCTTGGTAGGAGTACGCAACAACGGTGGGAGAACTAGTCGCTCTAGTAACTCAACTGACGTCCACGTGTGCATTATCAGTAGTACCACATCGACTAGAATCATCACATTGTAGAGGAATCCGGAACAGCTCAAGTTCAACGCTGTGGACACCTCTAGTCGACCTCGAACGCCCGAAGAGGAGGGTAGATACTTATAGCTTCGGACCGCATTCTGACGGAAAATGAAGCGCATGCCCAGCACGTCGACTTCGTCCGCTGTAAGTCGGGCCTTGTCGGTTTGTAACGCAGCGAAACCCGTCGCGACGTGTCCGACAAAGGCTGCACTTTTGCCTGGAACATCCGGACTAGCACAGCCAAAGATCCACCTCAAAG